AATTATAGATGTGTGTGTGTGAAGCCCAACAATGCAGCTCACTGCTTGTTTATTCTGAAATATATTCTACAATGCTCAGTGACACTTACTCTTTTGTAGTTAAAAGGACAGATAATGCATCTATCGATTTCAGATAAGATATACTTTCACTGTTAACACCATAGAGCACTATGCAATGTCAGGGATCCTTTTAGAGCCACAGAATGACATTGTCTTACCTGTTTTGCATTTTTATTATGTACAATGCATGTATTTCGTGCTGGAAGTTAAAATAGAAACCTGAATCATGAGATGGGGAACATCTGGTGAAAGGAATGCGATATTGATGTTACTGGCTGGCGGGGGTGTTCTTTTTACCAGAGACTTCACAATTTTGAGCTTTTCTATGCTTCTGGAAGAGTCTGTCAAGTTTCCCTCCTGAAAGTGGTGTCTGGGCATGGTCCTACAAGGGACAAGTTATTTCTTATATGGAAGGCAGATGATAATATATCCCTTGTTTATGGCCTTGTTGAAACTGTCAATCATTTGCTATGGAATTTGTGTTCCATTTCTCGCCAATTGAGAGGTTCTTTTTTATTCTTATGATTTCTCTGTTGCAGCACTGCAGGAACTGTTTGGGGGTTGTTGCTATTGGTTGTTAGCTAGAACTTGTCTGTAGAAATTTCCTCGATCATCCTGCTTCCATGAAAGGTTGTAAGACACTCTTCTAGTTAATGGCGTTAGTAGGACCTTCTGTTCCTGGTACGCCATTACCTTTTGTAAGAGGAAGAACATAAAGACCACTTGGAAGCTGCAGCTGGTCCAGAGTGCAGCAGCATGGGCAGGCTACAATATACCCCTGTGTCACTGCTGCTTTGTCAGCTGCACTGGTTGCCAGTTGGCTTCCAGATGCAATTCAAGGTGCTAGTTATCTATAAAGCCCTTCGTGGCATAGGGCCTGGTGGTTTGACGTGAGGGGCTGCTTATCTCCAGTATTTTCTGCCTGCCCAGTGAGATAGAGTAAGTGTGTTCCAGGTCCCTTTAAGTAGGCAATGTCATCTATTGGGACCTGGGCAGCATGCCTTTTTGGTTGCAATGCCTGCCCTCTAGAATAGCATCCCTCGGAGATCTGTATGGCTCCCACTCTGCAGTTGTTCTGAGAATCTTTGAAAACATGACTTTGCTCCCTGGTCAGGTGGTTGTCAGGCCTCTGTTGTTGCTGTTTTTCTGGTTTGTTGGGTTTATTGTGCCCAAATGTACATGTTTCTTTTATTCTTTGTTTTATTGTCTCTTATTCTTAAAATATAAGCCACACAGAGTCATCTAGGAGTCAGACAGCCTCTAAATCCAATAATATTAATAATAATAAATTTGTTATACATACAGATTAGGAAAGGTCTCTCCATTCTTTTAGCTCTCTGCTCTTTAGTTACTTGATCATCATTTGCATAAGGAAGCCACGGGCCAGATTTACATAGCTTTGCATCCCATGCTAGCCCCAGAGAACAGAAAGCACCTGATCTGACTTTCCCGTGCGTTGCTGGGCTGGGAACAGAGCAATATGCTGTATGTGATGCATTATGGGGATCTTATTGCTGCTTCTTGTCTGCCTGATCCACCACCCCATGACCATTACAAGGGATTGGTGCCATGCATGGGTGCATCACAGAAACAACAGTTGCCATTTATTGAAAGTGAACACCTTGCAGGAATACTGCAGATACCATTAAACTCCCATTTGCGCTCCCTGATGTGACCCCTTCTGGGTTGGCAAGGACAAGAAATGGGAGCAGCAGGGGTTTGGGAATGCTTTTTATTATTGTAGGATATAATAACAGAACCATGAAAGCCCCTCAGAGTTTTTCTCTACTCCATCTTATACCAAACAAATCAAGACAGAATTATTTGGAGTTTCCTTCTTATGCTTTCTTCTTTCCCAGGACTGAGTAATCTCCTCCTCCCTTAATGGTTTGTTCTCCCTTCCCCATTCCCAGGGCCACGTTTACATTCCATCACACCTGTAAATCTGTATTTCCTTAATACAGTTCCACTGTATTGATTCTCAACCAGTTAGGCCGTGTCCCATATCAGACATTCACCAACATGGAGGTCCAGGGTTGGTCTTTTGTGGAGGCAGAAACCTGAACTGTGTGCTAGACTGCAGAACTGGAAATGACATGTACAGTGCCAAACCAGGTAGTGAACGCTTCCACTCACAAGAGGACAGCTTTTGCCAGAGTTGGGATGAGGAATGTGGAAGAGTGAACTCACCACCCAGAGTGAGCAGGCATTTCTTTTCTCTCTTGGGATCCAGAATTTTGGTGCTGCCTGGGAAGGAAGGTTAAAACAGCCCTATCCTCTCCTTAATTGGAGAGATTGTCCCATAAAATGGAACACAAAACAAGCATGGGCATGGGGAGAAATGAGTCAAGCTGGAAGTCAGCAGAGAACCTCCAACACAAAGGCAAACACCTCAGCAGCAGCTTTCAGATAGCAAAAGGAAACTGCAATTCTTGGAGCTGCAAGACTAGCTGAGAGACAGGGGAGGAAAAGAGCCCGACCAGAGTCTGCAGATGCAAGCGTGCAAGATGCACAAGTATATAGAAGGGTGAAAAGGGTTTTCACATGTAAATGGACTGAGACTGGCTACAAGAGCTGAAGACCTGGGGGGGGGGGGAAAGGAAAGATTTAAAGAGCTAGGAAATAGTTAAGATAGAAAAACATAGTGCTACAAAGATAGAGATAGGAATATAGAACACAGAGATAGAAATTTGTAGAGTAAATAAGATAGAAATAGTTGTAAACTTGTAGTAATAGGAAGAATATAGAATAAGATAGGTAGGCAAATAGAAACAAGTATAGAATTAGCATTAGGTTTAGAAGTAAGGAATAGGAGTTTAATTTTGTACAATAATTTCATTTATTTATTTATTTATTTATTTATCGTATTTATATAGCTGCCCATCTCACATAAAGTGACTCTGGGCAGTGTACAACAATTAAAAAGAACAAATACATAAAAACAATTACAATGGAATCCATCCAGGTCCATTAGTTGCTGGGGGTAGACCGATCTAATAGGTCCAGCCTCCCTGCAGTGGATAGTGGTGCTAGAGAATCCCATTGTAATCAGGGCATGATCTGACCATGACAAGGGGGACACCAAAAGCTCCCCCAATTCAGTTTTTGTGGGGAAAAACAAATGCAGTCTTTGTGTCTGTGATCTGTACTAGGTTAAGAAAAACCCTAGCAAGGGACATAATAATGCCTCCTCTCATTTGGCCATGGGTTGGCTTTGTGCTAGCATCCCTCCCTGCCAGCCTGTGACCAAAAAAAGGGGTGCACACAGCAGTTAATATGAATTTTTAGTCCCCAAACAAATGGGAAATGGCTGGACTCCACCCTGGGTGAAGTCTCTTCAAGGCTAATGGGACAGACTCATAACAAAGCATCAGAGCTTCATCACTTTCATTGATCCCCTGGCAGGTCTCCCATGTTTCCATTTGACCTCTCTGCACCCATAGTTGCTGTCAAACAGCACAGCATTCCATGGGTTATGCATTACATCCCTGGAATTCAGAATTTTGACCCATAACCAGATTCCATATTTCCAGCATCCAACTCTATCCTCCAATGCAGGGTTCCAAATTGGTGCATTCTTGGGGTGGATGTGTGGGTGTGCCAACACTTTTCTCATAATTTCTATGACTACAGACAGCCTGCGGGGAGAGTCAGGACTGATGTAGTTTTCTTCTTGGGTGTGAAAAGGACGAGAACTCTTTGGCATTAAAATCAGTGTGTTTTCTTGCTTTGATTGGGACAGACTAACTCAGTTCTTCGGGGTAGAGGGGGGTCCTAGTTTTTAAATGAATTGTGGAAATTCATTGAGCCTTTCAACAAAAGTGGTATTTCCCACACACATAGAATCCCCTCTGCAAATGTGCACCTATCTATCGTAAAGTTCATGAAGCTAGAAGGACACTTCCAGAAATGCAATTGGATTTTTGTTGCTTTTTTGTTAATTTCTTGGGTGCAGGGAATGATTGTATCTTTCTGGTGGAAATTATCTGTCTGACAGATAAATAGCCCAAGTCCTGTAATTCTTGTAAGCAACTGAGTACTACATTTTTAAAATAATTGTTTTTTTTTCATGGTTTAGAATAGGTGTAAACAGATTCTCAATTTAGTAGGATTTACTCTTGAGCAAATGATTTCTCTTTTTCCTTTTGGGAAGGTGAGTTAGTAAGAGGTTTAGTCTATTAGTCCCTGTAAAAGTCAAAATATGCACTGCTGATAAGCATAGCAATCTTGTGAAAAGAAAAGAAAAATCCTCTTAATTTTATGAAGCTTACTTCAGAAATTTAGGAAGTAAGAAGGGTCTTTGTGTGGGCTTAATTATTACATCTTCTGTTCTGTGTCCTGAATATTGTTACTTGAATGTCAATCTAGTTTATATTTCAGTGTAACTTTTATGTATGCAAGAGAGACAATAAATAATCTGCCATTTGGATGTGAAGAACTGGGGTCTTTTTGGTCAGGGAGATTTTCAGAGTTTGTGTTAGTAGACTGTGCTTTGTATCATCTATTTCTGAGAAGCTGATAACCATTTTAGTAGATGGTGGTAAAAAAATCAGGAGATCTGATAGTAGCTTTTCCAACTAATAAATTTAATTACAAGGCATAAGGTTTCATGTGCTGCAGCTCCTTTCATCAGACAGTTTTTAGCAGATGGTGGCACTCTAGAGCTATGCATTGGTGAACTGGTTAAAGGAAAGCTCCAGCAAAAGATTCTGTTGCATGTTTATATGTAAATGAAATATTATAATATTAAAAGTATTAAATCTCTTCTGAATAATGAAATCTAGTCACCTGCAATTTAAAATACTGAGCAAGCAGCCTCTTGCTGGATAAATGGGTCCTTCCTGTCTGCTAGTTTGGGAATTATAGCTGTAGTTAATGCAACCCTGGAGTTGCTAATTGATTTGCATATTATATTTATATTCCACTCTTTGGATGGCTTAGGTACAACCAGTATGGCACCTATAGGCATCAGTGTGCCTATCAGATTCTGCTTTGGTGCTTAACATCCCTACCCAAACTGATGTTTAAGTCTTTAATTGAACAAGGGAGGGAGGAAGGAAGGAAGAAAAGCAGGCAGGCAGGCAGGCATGCATGCTGTAAAGTGCCAGCTTCAAGCATCATCTTTCTTGTCAAGAAAGCTGTCGGGCCCCATAAAGATTCTAAAAGCCATTCTTACTTATTGTAATAGTGGGTAGTTGCACCCCAGCATTTTGGAACTTGGGTGTCAGGGAGGGGAGCAAGAGGGGACAAATGGCAAAATGTGCATCACAACATTGTTGCAATGCCTGTGGTCCCTTACAATGCAAGTATTAAAGGGCAGAGCTTGTATCATGACACTACAGCACACATTTTATCATGTTGGCATCTTTGTGGCTAGCTGAGGACACCTCTGTTTGGGAAGTGTGCCCACTTGCCCAGAAAAACAAGATAGAGCGGTAGAGTACATTTCAAGGAAGCTAGCATTGGCAGCAACCTCACCAAATTGCCTTTGTGACTGATAGTGGACCCCATTTTGTGTAAGTGCAGACAATATGTTCTCAATGTTTCAGAAGTTAATTGTATGAGGTTCTCATTCTCTCATCTTTTTTCAAGCATCTATTATACAAAATCATTCATAACCTAGTTGCCTTTATGATACAGAATGCGGTAGAGAAAGCATAGGGAGAATGGCTTCTGGATCTTTTTTCCAACCCCTTAGCTCTGCTCTGGGCCATGTGACTGAGAGAGGGCTTAGAATGAAGGAGTTGGTAATCCTCTGAGCCACTGACCTACTGGTTCTTTTATAAGGATGCACTGGGGATTTTTTTTTTCTCAAATGTTTTTCTCTGCAGCCCTTGGCCTGATCTGACCCATTTTCAAACTCAACCTTTCTTTTGCTGATTTCTCCTCCCCCACACCAAATTTGGTCCCTTTCTGTTCCATCTCCAGAGTTATTGTGCTAACAGACAGAATCATGATGCTCTTCACAGAAATTCTTTCCAACGTTCCATTGGGTTAGAAAGAATGAAAAGTGTTATAATATCTGTTTCAAACATAGACTTTTGCACTAGTTCACACATTGGCTTGTGACTGTTGTATATATACCACCATTGTGATCTATAAGCTATGTTCTGTAACTTAACATGTTGTATGATTCCAGCCAATTCTGGCTTGTTCAGCAAATCAAGATTTAACAAATTATAGCTTAACATTGAAAATTTGCAAATAAAGTCCTTGTTATTCTTTGCCCACTGTATACATAGGCCTAAAGCAGTCTGCCCTAATGTGTATTTCGGATATGTTGGCTTACAATTCCTGTCATCCCCAATAATCTTTCCACTTTAAAATTATCAGAATTATAATCCATCACTTCTTTTTTCAAACCTTTGAAATGGTGTAATCATCCTAATTTTCTCAGAGTACTGTAAAAAAAAGATGATCAAGTGTTTTTTGCTTGTTTGTCTTCTGGAGAGGAGTCGTGTTAAAGTGTTATCTCCTTTAGGTGAATATAGCAGCTTTACTGCATATATATATATAGTGATCCAACTGTGATAGCTTCTCCTAAAGAATCCTAGGTAGTATGATTTTGTAAGGATACTTCCTCCCTATCTACAATTCCTAAGAGAAGGAAAATCACCATTAATTATTATTTAAGTCCATTGTATAGATAAACTTTTAAAGTTAAAATGTTGCAGAATATTAAATAAAATACATTTTTGCCATTATGACCAATTTAAAAGCATATGTTCTTTTTTCATATAATTGCAGATACACATTCTCTTTACATTAAAAGCTAAATTAAATACAGTGCTTAGTATTGCTATTCAATGTAGTAGTAATATAAAAAACCACCCAGGAAAAACAGGATGTTTTTTCTCTTATCAGTCAAATTCAAAATAGTTACCACTCTGCCTTTGCCTGATTTTCCATCACAGCTGCCTTTACCTTGGAGATGACCTTGCTGCATCTAAAGCTTAATGCCTTTAATCTATGATATGAGTTAAATCTAAGATGATTCTCAAATCCTTTACAGGTAAGTGTTTATAACACAAATAAATACAGTAGACTACGGTTAAGGCCAGACTTTAGAATGTTTATTGCTGGAGCAATTTCTGTCTTTACATAAATCAAAGCACTCAAAATGCCATATGATACCAAATGTTTAGTTTAACAGCATAAATTGAGCAAAAATTGTGTACAGTACTTTATAGGGGCTATAAAATCTGCAGGCTTGCAATCACCCTGATCAATCAAAGGTTACTCAGCATTCCAGATAATAAATATTCAAGTGAAACAACTCTCGGAGTTATTCTTTTTAAAAAATGTTTATGATTTCCAGTAAAGGTGTTGCAAAATATAACAACCTAGCAATGTGGCAGTAGCATTTTCGAATTTATCTAAATAACATTTTCTGTGTGTTTATTCAGCTTCAACGGACCTTCCTCTGACAGAATGGTAAGTATTGGGCTGTGCTTAAACATCTGTGCTTCTTTGCACTGGGAATTAGTTCCACTGTCTCATTTTGCTTTTGAGTAAACCTGTATAAGCATCTGCTTATTTTTTATGGGATTTATAGGCCGCCCCAATCTATTATGCTTCCAGACAGCTTACAAAATACAGAATAACCATAAAAACAAGGAAACACACCATCAAAATGAGAAAGTCTGGAAAAAAACAACAACCATTCACAAAAACCTAAAATATCAGTCAAGGGGCCCATTTGATCCAGGGCCTGGGGACAAAGCCCGGTTTTATAGGCTCATTAGGTAGTGCCAGGGTGGAAGCTGTACAACTCTGTTGTGCCATGTGAGCCGTTCTGTTGAAGGGCAAACTAAAGTGACACTTTACCACTTTTGATGAACTGCAAATATTATTTTGGAGGAAGCAACTTGCATAGGAAAAAAGGCAGAAAACAAAAAATGCCTAATTTTACTGCATTAATCTCCCTCTCCCTCCAATTTCCATCCTTGTCTATTTCCACACTGTCTGGAACTCCACAAAGACAGAATTATCTGCCTTACATGTGTCTGCCAAATCTGAATAGCAGATAAAGGGTAAAACATCCCTTTAATCTCATCCTTTCTTATCTTCCAAGGCCTCAGTTACAAGTGTTGTAGTTATGTTGTATATTTCTACTTCAAGCAGTCTTCTCAGACTTGGGTGTTCTCCCGATATGTTGGACTTCAACTCCAAGAAGCCCTAGCCAGCAGGCATCCAACTGGATAAGGTTGACTTAAAATGTGTGGGATCAGAATCCCTTGGGATTCTAATTGACAGAACATTATATTGAGCTTTCCAACTTCACTGTAGATATGTAAGATTTTCTATTATGTTTTCTGTTTTTAATTTGACCACTTTGTACTAACAGAAGTGTCTGCAAGTGCACATCTTATGTAACTCAGAAGGGGTTTTTTTCTTTAGTTTGTGGCTAGGTGGCTAAAAGAATGGATTTGGAAGTCCTGTGCAAATCCCAGAGGATCTTGCTTTATTCAGGCCTGGAGTGAAAACATAAAATGTTAATTGGTCAAATACAAATATTTACATTGCAAATAAAAGAAATTACTCCTTCACAAAAACAATGCCAATATATAAACAGTTACTGAATTAAAATAGCGTGGATGCTAACGTGCAAAGACTGTGATTACTCTCACTTATATAATCATGTATGCTTTACTTTTTACTTTCTGGCAATTGTGAGTGAAAAATGAAAAAAAACAAATCTGATCATGGTTTGCTACCATAATTTCTTCTAGTTAAGTATAGAACCCCAGTGGCTTGGGGCCTTGATCTCTATGCGACTGTATATCCCAGACAGATTCTGCACACCCAGTCCAGCTGAACAGAGAGTGCAAACTGAAGGTCTTCACCTTACTCAAAGTAAGAGAGGGCCTGAAAGCCCTCTGTTCCTCTCATCTGGAACAGTTTGCTCCCCAAGGCAAGGGTAGCTTCCACTCTCATGAACTTCTGGAAGTATCTAAGATTTAGCTGCTCTGGAAGGCCTTTGGGATCTCTTCATTGTATAACTGTTAGTATCAGATGTGATTATTATCATTATTGACATAAGGTTAAGACATTATTGTGTTTTACTGTATTATCTACTTCAGGTATGTTGGCATTGACCAGAATATTGCAGCTTATACAAATACTGAGTCAGTAGGAGTACAGTTTAGGCATGGGTAAAAAAATGAGATCACAAACATTAATCTATGACCAGTACAGAAGATGAGCTCCATCTGAATCTGTAGAGGAAGGTTGCACCCTTCCTAACATTCCTATTGTTTTGCTTACCTTGGGCTTCAGCCAAAATGGAAGTGACTGAATGATACAATTTCTAATTTAAGCAAGAAAAAATACTTTAAAGAAGTGTGCTATGTGTTTTTAAATAAACATATTAGTTTAGGCAGCAATATTATAATAAATATGTAGCTCAAATATTACAGAAGTACTTGGTAGTACTTTCAATATTGTAATAAATATGTAGCTGGAACATTATGGAAGTACTTATGGAAGTAATCACAGAATCATGCCATGACTTATCAGATCCATGTTAATAACCTGTTCAAAAATGTTACTGTCCTGTTTCAGTTTTCAAATTCACACACACACAGTTGCTAGGTAAAAACAGCAATTTACTCAAGGCTGAGTAGATAACTGGCAGACAAGAAAAGGAATATAAATCAGAACAAAATCTCTGGGAAAGAAAGCTTACCCAAGTAGTTCTGCTTTCAACAGAAATGCACAGAAGAGAAGTCCAAATCCAGTCCAAAATTCAGAGAGCCAAGTCAGGTTTGTCAGCCAGTCCAAAAGTCAGAGTTTCAGGTTTCACAAGCAGAATTCAAAGGAACAACACATCCAGAGCAGGAAATCAGACAGTTGTTTCCAACAGAGGAACATCAGTTAGGGTTGCCTCTTAAATCAGGCTGCAGCCAGCTAACTTTAATTAGGCTAATCACTCCCTTGCTTCGCACGGAGCCTCAATGAGCATCTTTGCTTTGCTCTCCACTCGCCAAGTCCGGGGGTTTGGGGATTGTGCCTCAACATCTGACTGCTCCAGCTGTTCTGATGGTGCCTGTGTTTGAGCAGCCTCAGGTGATTCTTGGTTTGGTGTCTCCTGAGGCCAACATTTCACAGGCTCAGCTGCAGCAGCTTCTTCAAAATCAGAGTCTGAGTCCTGGGTCATGACAGTTACTGGGAGTTTGATCCATATTCTGTTCACATATCAATTTTTGATCAATTTTTGTTGTTTTTTATTACACTTTTAAAAGCAGAAATATATAAGAACTAATTTTCAAACATTACTAATGTGATCTAATGTAACATGTAACAGCAAATCCCACCACACAATTTAAAAAAAGAAAAGAACAGAAAAAAGGAGGAGGAAAAGAGAAACAAAAATTAAACTATGGTTTAAACAACCTAAGGAAACTTAATGCAATTATTTGAAAATTCTCTTCATGTCTTTTGTTTTAAAAGCCAATCAAGTATTGTTAAAGAACACACCAAATTAATAACAGTTAAACATAAAATTCTGCATTAAAAGATATGTTTTAAGGAGGGAAAAAGAAAAATAATCTTTCATAACTTCCACACTTGAGCAACAGCAGATGGAACTGCAAATTTCATTTCATACAGATGTTAAAAACCATGGGAGAGAGAGGGCCAATCCCTGTGGCCCCCCACACATCAGGGGCCACAGGTGAACATCTCCTCCCTTACCACAGACTAAAACCGCCCACTGAAGCAAGAGCAGAATTACTGTAAAATGGTGCCTCTGCAGGTGGTCCAGCAAGATATCATGGTTGATGATATTGAAAGCCACCCAGGGGTTTAAAAGGACCAGGAGAGATGCACTACCATAATTCAGGTCCTGACCCAGGTCATCTCAAGGAGCAACCAATGCCATCTCAGTCCCATATCTGGGCCTAAAATCTGACTGTTATGGAGAAGTACCACTGAGTGTCATTAGCACACTGATGACAGATTACATTGAAAGTCTGATGGCCACTCTCAGCAGCTTCCTATCAGCATTAGACAGGGATGAGGGACAAAACAATGTACAGCATAGCTTCCAGAGAGCACAAAAACAGTCATCCAGTACTACTGTCTGAAACTGTTCCTTCAGGTTGAAGAGGAACCACTGTAGCACAGGGACTCTCACTTCCAGAGATGCTCACGGTTAAAGGCACCAAAAAGGCAGGATCAGCAGAGTCACACTCTCTGTGTCTTTTTCCTCCAAAAAACAAAGCAACTACTTTTAACTACACTTACTTACTGTATTTTATGTAGTGTTATTTTTAATTAATATATTGCTAGCTACTCTGATCTTCAGGCAATGAAAAGATAAGTAAATAAGCTCAGTTCTATAAAAATATGGATGTTAGCATGTATTTCATGAAAGTTACATTTAAAACTTCAAGAAAGATTGCGTGTCTCCATTTGAAAAAAAATAGGCTATCATTTTTCTTAGCTTCCCAAAAGCAGTAAACAGAGATTTAAAAAAAAAAAAAAACAGGCAGTAGAAATTACTTATAAAGTTAAGCAAGTTACGATAGTTCAACTAAGCATTCATGAAAGGAAGCTGGGATTCATGATATATAATTTCTAACCAATACACAAACCAACTTAAAGCCTACAATCTCCTTTGCTCTGCAGCAGAACAGATTTTCATATGTATTTTCTGCACAGGAAGAAAATGAAAAATATGCTAACAGAGCAACAAAATCACAGAATATTTTATTTCCCTTAAGGGCATCTGGTTCAACCGCTGATTTAAAATTTTCATTTCATACAGATTATATTGCTCTACAATTTTATATCCCAGAGTTCATCGCACACTCTTTAGAATCTCCAAATAACATAAATATTATTCATGATTAGAAGGAACACATTTATGCAGCAATTCTTTATACTAAAGGACAATTAATAAAATAAATCAGGCCAAATAAATTAATCTGCACGCAGCATTTCCTTTTAGATGATGGATCTTAGGCTTAATTGCATTATCTCGTGGAAGGCCAATAAATATGAAACCAGAAAGCTATGTTTCTCTGGTCAAGACTCTAGAACATATTCTTCTTGATATCCCCACGTGAGCTTATTTACAAAGGGAACATGATCAAATAACCTAATATATTTTGCTTCTTTCAGTATGTGTTTTTTCATTGTCAAACTATCCACCTACTGCTTAAACTGAAAATTTATGTTTTATTGTAACATAATCCTCTGGCCAGAAAGCTACATAAAAATAGGAACAGAGATCTTGCAAACAGCACAGACTTGCTACTTTCCATACACTTGATATAGATTGTTCACTAGGACAACCTCTCCAGCAATGGGATATTTCATGCTTATGAAGCTTTAGTTCTTTTAATCAAATACCACCATGGCTAGTGATCATAATATCTGGAGATTATAAGAACTGAGGTTGAAAGTAGTTGGAGGACACTAGGATGAAGTGAGGGCAGCTGGCCAAGTACAGGTAGTCCTCGTTTAACAACAGCAATTGGAACCGGCAACTTGGTCATTAAGCAAAATGGTTGCTAAGTGAAACCACAACTGCTTGTGATCTTACTTCAGCTCTCCTTTGCTTTACAGACCTGCAAAGGTTGTAAATGCAGGATGGGTTATAAAGTTACTTTTTCATTACTGCCGTAACTGTGAATGGTAGCTAAATGCAGTTGCTAAACGAGGACTACCTGTATAAAGGGTCAGATTAATAGAGCTTATATGAGAGGACAAATGGGGGCAAGTCTCAGGCTATGAAAATCCTCTAATTTGTTTCAAACTTCAGGTATAGAAGATGGGGGCAGTCTGGGAAGTTTGTACAGCTTTTGTTTTATTATATAAGGCCAGATAGATGGCAGCCCTAGCTGGTCTTGGCTGATCTCAAAAAGTTAAGTGGGATTCAGCGTGGTTAGTACTTCTAACCATTTCCCCATTGTTGCCAAGGAAATTATGTATATTTATTAAAAAATTTAAATTGCCCAAAATCTGATGCTCTCTGGGCAGCTTGCAATAAAACACACTAATATAATTACAATTTGAATAAAAACATGCAATAAAATGATATGGATTTGTCTGTTAAGTCACCCAAATTCAAGTTTCACTAGAAGATTTTATCTTTTTTCCTTCTATAATGCAAAGTGGCAGTCATTAATGTGGGGAAATGGATAATGATAAGCAACTGCTTAGTAAATGATCATTACTTGGTACCTTCCAGGTATGTTGGATTACAGTCCTCTGAACTTTGAGAGTTATAGTCTGTACACAACTAAAGGGTGGCTGATTAGAAAAGGTTCTAATGGAACTGGAAGACAGAAGGTGTTCTATTACTTGCAGCCAGAGCTCAGTAGAAGGGTGGTTCCCCATGTCTCTTGGAAACTATTTCTCAGCTGGACGTTTTCTAAAAAATCCAATCACTAGGAGGAAAGAAGTGCACCAGTTGGGCAAAAAGACACCTTTTCCATGGCTGCCTCAGAGCTTTGGAATGTCTGCCCAGGGGAATTTTGAAGGCATATTAGTCTTTTGGAAACTGTGCAAAACAAATCTATTTCATTTGCTATTTTGTGTTTTGGAATGAAGGACTTGAATTCCTACCACTGATAGGATTTTGAACTTGACTCTTTAATATTAGTTGTTGTCTTTTAAATGTGGTTTCAGGTGTTCATTTGAGTTGTTCTGTTATGATTTTCTTTCTTGATCTCGAAGTATGTGAAAAAACAGAATTCTGAAAGACTTAACAGCTGTTTTCTTCCATCTCTTCCTCATCAGTTAGGTAGTTGAACAGCAAGAGCTCTATCTGGGGGCAACAGCTATTGCAACTAAGTCATAAAATTAAAAGTCCACACTGGAAAAGAGCAGGACCTCTACATCAAAGGCAAGGAAAAGGTCAGTTACAAATTCTATGATATGGGATGGGCTGCAAGGGATTCCTGTAAGATACTTCAAATTCAGTGTTAAGGCAGTAACTTTGTTAGGCTACTTTAGTAGTGATAAGAAACCGATGGTGCAAATTCCAGTGGAATTTCATCCACTGTGTGCAAATTCTGTCAAAATTGAGGTTTCATTATAGGCTCAAGAGTTCTGCTATGTCAGAATATCTTCAGAGCTGCATTCTGAAACTTTGTCCTCAACTTTAGTCACTTCTTAGCAGTGACGAAGGTTGAACAAATGTCTTGCAGGAGTTCTTGTTTTCAGAGTTTACATCTTCAAGCAACAATGACAAAAATGATATCTATTGTAATCACCAGCTGAAAATGTGTGTGAAATAGAAGCATATATGATAGTGGTTATTATCTGAAAAATGTGGAAATAACTCTAAACTTTAACAGTACAGAACTATCAGTTCTTCCATGTGTTCTCCACATTGGGCAATATTTGGATATACTAATAGAAGCATACAATTTGACAGGTCTTGTAGTTACTTCCACAGTTAAGAAAGGCAAAAAATCAGTTCAGATAGTAACTTAGTACAACAAATTTAAATCCATGTAATAATTAGTAAGAAAGTGAGTGAAATCACCTCTAGTCACCTCTTGACTGGACTGTTTCAACACACTCTACATGGGGCTGCCCTTGAAGACCATCTGGAAGCTACAATATGTAACAGTGCAGGTAGTTATGGGTGCACCCTTAGTATGCCCAGGTAACAACACTACTTCACAAGCTGCACTGGCTCCCTATCAGATTCTCAGTGCAATTCAAGGTGCTAGTCATCACCTATAAAGCCCTACATGGCATAGGAGCAGGTTATTTGCAGGACCACCTTGCTCTAATAGGGTAGACAAGCTTTGGGTCCCCTCCTTGAAACAGTGCTATTTGATGGGACCCAGCTGGCATGCCTTTCCAGTAGCAGTGCCTGCCCTTTGGAATGATCTGACTCTGCTGGCCTTTGGAAAGGCCTTAAAAAATGTCATTCCCCCTTGGGGCTCAGATGAGTAAGTTCCCATCAGGACAGGGTAGAATATGAGTCAGGTTGCCTTTTATTATTATTGTTAATTATTCTTTACTGTTTTCATTATTTTGCTGTCAGATGCCCATATACATTATTTTAAAACTAAATAAATTTTAAAACAAGTTGCATAGCCACTCCATAGGCATATTTTAATATTTATATTTTAACTTTTCTCTAGATACTCCATCTACCCCTTAAGCCTTATTTTTCAATATTATTTATGACTTCTTTTTCATCAATTTTACATGGGCATGAATATTTATAGCATTTGTTTCAATTCCACTCTTCAGGGTATCACTATCATTCCCAAACAGATTTCTCAAATGCAACTGCCAGCACTCCCTCATCTCAACTTCATCCCAAATAATTTCATTGCTTTTTTAAATTTCATTCATTGTGCAAGAAGCTTCTTGTTTAGCCCTCTTCATTCACTTGCAAAACAATTATTATTTCTAATGAAATCATTCTGTATTTTCTCTGCCACTTCTCATCTTAATCATTCTTTCTCTATGACTACAGTACATTTTTTTTGCAACTATACTATTTCTTCTGTACACTTTAAATAAAGGGAAAAATAGGAAAGATCTGTAGGTGGAAATCCTGAAGAGAAAAGGAAGACTGTAAAATTCTGAAAAAAAGAGAGAATTAAGGCCCAAATACAAGCAATACCAAAGTGAAAGAAAAATGGGAGACAGCTGGTTATCAGGAAGTAGCTCATATCTGTAAAGATGAGGTCAGGAAGGGTCAGAATGAACTGAGGCTTGCAATGAACAGCAAAAATAACAAAAGGATTATTTGAATATGAGATGAACAAGAGGAAAGTCAAGGGAAGTCAAGTCCAATGATGGGAGAAGAAAGCAAGATGGTGACGGCCATCTAGGAAGAAGGCCAAACTGTTTAAATCCTATTTTGCTTGTCTAACTACCAGACTAATCTTATAGTTTTTTTAAACAAATGACTAGATTAACTGACCAAGGGAACACTGTGGATGTAGTGTATCTGGATTTCAGTGAGGCATATGATAAAGTTGACCATAGCCATCTTCTTGACAAAATGGAAGAATGTGGGATGGATGGTTTTATTACCAAGTAGATTCACAGTTGGCAGAACAACTGTACCCAACGTGTGGTGCTTCATGGACCTGCGTCTGTGTGGAAGGAGGTATGCAGTGGGATACCTTAGGGTTCTGCCGGAGCCCAGCGCCTTCAACACTTTATATATGTCTTAGATGAGGGAATGCAAACAGTGCTCACCACATTTGCAGATGACACAGAACTAGTTAGGGAGTTGCTAACACCTCAGAAGAGAAGTTCAAGGTTCAAAAGTAACTTGATAGACATTGGGCATAGACTATTCAACAAAACAATGTTTATGTATCTTTTAAAAGATTTGTATGGCTGCCCATCTTAAAACAACTCTGGACAGCTCACGACAATAAAACTATAAAAATCATTAAAATTATATTATTATTAGTAGGTAGGTAGGGTCAGCTCAAGGTGGTGAACATACCTAATACTCCTGCTTCCTATTTTCCCCACAACAACAACTCTGTGAAGTGGGTTGTGCTGAGAGAGAGTAACTGGCCCAAAGTTACCCAGCCAGCTTTCATGCCTAAGGGAGGCGTGTTTTTAGATTTATATTCATTATTTTGCCATGTATACCTATGAATAAACTAATGATTAAAGCAGGATTTGAAACAAACTGACATTCTAAAGTAGATATTCACCAAACAGTCATTATTCTCATTCATTTCGGGGCCTCTGAATGGCCCAATAATTTTTTCTATAATCTCTGATTTTAGTAAGATAGAAAAAATGTATGCAGCATTCCCTGCCAAGTCAACTTAGATCCATTCTGGCCAGTATCCTACAAGTACAACCAGTTTTGCTCCAAGCATGTTTACACTATTCTGTGCAAGATAGGATCTTTCATCTAAACATCACCTGGCTAGGCAGCCTTCAGCTGCATGCATCTCACCAGCTAAAAGATAGTTGCAGCATATTGAGACACCCTCAGATTAAAACAGGATCCAAAACGTGGATGAGGCCCTTTCCATGATTTAATACATTTCGGTCGTTAATTAAGTTATATGGTATGTACGTTTTTAAATGTCAGGCCAATAGAAACAAGTCTTGGGAGTTAAAAATTACTAAGGGAGTGTTATTGCAGAGCCACTGGCCAAAACTGAGAACAAGAACTGATGGCGTTGGGAACGCAGTATTGTAGTAACTGAATGATGTACTGTATGGATGTTCTTTATTATTTATTAAATTGTGCTTTCTGCTGGTCAGAACAAAAGTATGTCACTTCAACTTCTGTAATTTGTGTGGTGGGATTTGGGCCATAACGCAGAGCTGGAGGATACTTCCAGTAGTAATTTGAGAATACGTCAGGGGAAATTTAAACAGAGAAGTTGAACTTTCAGTTCTGCTTTCTAAGAAAGAAAATTGGATTGAACTTCTAAAATGTTGTTTTACTTAAATAAAGGTTGCCATTCAAAAGGAAAATGGAAGAAAATATAATGTTCTGTTCTTCTGTATATTTTTTCTCAGCTGCTTTCAGCTTCAGAAGTATTCTTCATTTTTAATCCCCGCCTTTCTGGGATTCCATAATAAATGGTTTTCATAGTTTCATATAGCCAAACTTAATTTGGTATATGATGTGTCACAGAACAAAACAACCCTTCCTGAACAAATGGTTTTATTGCCAGCCAGAATAATGCTTCACCTGGACCATCTTTAATTAATCATAGTTATACCGGAAGAATTGGAGTGAATGTGGATGAGTATGTGCATTTTCATAAGTTAGTTAGCCATCACCAAGTCAGGATGAATTCCTGCTGATTACATAGACAAATTATAACCCATTTCTAGTAATATCTTGCAGCCTTTCCAAGGATATCCTAGTAATTCTTTTGATTCCAACTATTCACCTTCTCCACTGTCTTCCCTTCTAGTTTCTTCAACCTTGTCAAGCAGTAATTTTTTCTAATCCATCATCTGCTCATATTACATTCCTCAATATGTGAGTTTCTGTTTTATGATCATCACTCCAAGATAAATATAAATATGAATATATTATCTCTCTCCAAATGTTTCTGTGATTTTATAATCCCATTAGTAAAGGGTTTCAATATATTCTTTGCTGTTTCCTTTAATCTCATTTGCCTTGTTAGATCTCTTCCATAATTACTTTTGAGTATTCCTAGGTGAGCTGTACATTTTCCTTTTATTTTTCTTCTTTAAAAGATCTCTCATTTTCCTCTTCTTATTATTTCTCTACATTTATTGACATTCTTGTTGTTTCTTACTCAACACTGAAAGGTTGTGTTCACTGTACTTCCTTCCTATTGCCCAAGGCTTTCAGCCTTTGTCTTTTCATGGCCGTCTTGACAGCTTGTTCTGAAAGCCACTTGGATCTTTTCTACTTTAAAATTTTAGGAATATCCTTTTTTCTGCTATGATTTTCACAACGTTTCTTATCTCTTCTCATACCTCCTCAGATTCACTTTTGCATACATTAAGTATATTAAATCCATTCCTTACTTTGAACTTATATTTTGACTTTAATTTTCTAAGTTTCATTCATATATCTGACACTAATAATTCATGGCTTATTCACAAAACTGCATCTAGAAGTGTCCTGGCTGACTAGATTACAATACTCCATCTTCTGATTCCTACTGTATGTCTATTCAATTCCAATGTTGTCCATCTGGTGATGTCTAGATGCAAAATCTGTCTTTCTGATACTTGAAATAGGTATTGGCAATAAACAAAGAATTCTCTTCACTAATGCTTTTAACTTCTATCTTTCATTGTGTTTACCCACTTCAAATCTTCCTATGATTCCAGGTTCTTCCCATTCTCCACCTTTTGCGCTCCAATAACCCATTCTAGTACTGCATCCTTTCTTGATATTGCATTTAGCTTCTCTTGCAATCTGCTATAAAATCTTTTTATTGTTTTCCTTCTTGGAGTCTATAGTAGGTCCATACACTAATATAGCTTTGATGAAATAATGTTGAACATGATGAAATAATGTTGCGGTACATTGTGATGCAAGTTCACCCCTTTTGTCCATGTGTTGTAATATCATATGCATATACAAAAGAGATGGAGCTTGTGGCTCAACAGCACAATGCTACTTTATCGTTTTGATTAAAGTAGCAAGCTTCTGCAGATGCCTATGGGTCTATCTATATTTTCTTATTCCTAAGACTCCAATCTGATTCATTTATGCTCTGACAAATTCACATTTTCCTTGATTCCTGCTTTTCACATTCCATGCTCCCATTGCGTGTGTCCTTATAAATCAAAGAACTTCCCTTTCAATACTGGCATCATCACTGACCAGATACAGCTTGTGGCTTTCACACTGTCACTTCCAGATTTATTTGTTAACGTTCCGTATTCTTCCAGTTAACTAGAGGAATGACTTATGACTAAGATCATTCATACAAAATGTTACAACTATATCCATAAGATTTAAAAAAAAACAATACAGAAATAATTTGCTATTGCCCTCCTTCCAGGTTTGATTTTGTGGTTCCTTCTTCTAGGTGAATTGGCTGCCCTAATGCCTCAAGAACCCCAAATGCCTCTTAGCTTTCTCCTTCTCCTTTCAACCTTACTCCCACTGTGTCAGTCTTGGGCCCATAGGAGCTACTGTGAAGATGGCATTCCATAGGAGGGCAACTAGTCAACTGGAAGTGATTTGAAGTAAAACAAAGTTACCTAGCTATATGAGCAATGGGAATTCTTTGTTAGAAAAAGTTGAAGAGTCATCTGTTGGGGGTTGCTATTGTGGTAGATTTTCTGCATCATCCGGACTGAACTACATGATCTGGAAAGTCCCTTTTAGCTATATTGTGCCTGCCTTCACATGAATAGGTTTTGCACACTTCCATAGTAATGTATAATCAGTTGTGAAAAAAGTAGTGGGAAATGTCATAAGGAAAGATGAAATAGTCACAAGATGCAACCGTGACTTATCTCCAGTTGCTTCAGTACTAGCAGCATGATTGTCTGAAGAGTTGTTTCCCTCAAGCTAACAACCTTGGTAGTAAATTGAATTTGTTATATGTTATGTCCTTGCTCTTTCCTTGGTTGTCTTCCATGACAAACTCCTTTGATTATTATTTATGACGTTTAACCAACTCAGGTTTGAAGTTGTTGTTTAGATGCCAGAATATCACAATTTGTGTACCTGAACAACTGCTTCATACATTACAGTAAATACCATTTCGGATTCAACATTTACCATAGAACTGAAAAATATATCTTATCATATATCCCTCACTGTGCAAACAAAATATAGATATGCTTTTATCATATAAAATCATATTTCAGAATTCTGGCTATTGTGGCTAAGGAGTGAGAATCCAAACTTCTGATCAAAAGCAATTGTTGAAAATTGAGTATATTCCAAGCACACTGATAAGTTCAAGGATGAAGAGCTCTGAGGTCCATTTCCTTCTTGTGTTTCCTAGAATATTTGAATGGAGAGCATCTATTCTGTCCCTGAGTGACCGTCTCCTACACCATAACTAAAGCACATAGCGCAGCACCATCCATTCAGAGCAGCACATCCTGGGCATGGCATCTGGGAAATATAATCTAGAGCATTAACTGGTGGCTCACAAACATTGATGCTGCTTCCCTAGTGCCAGACTCCTCAGTGCAGTCAAAGGCAGAGATGAAAGATTTAATAGAGCTGGCATATAAAAAGGGAAAGTGAAAAACCAATTAAACCCACTATCCTTTGTACCTAAATATTTTTCACCCTTATTTTGCTCAGTTCAGTAATTTCCTGACAAGACTGGGAAGAGGGTGATGTGATGGATGCTTTTACTGTGGACTAGTATAGTTGCCAAAAAGCTTCTAAAGAACTCAGAAAAACAAAGTTCTGGCTGCACACGCCTTTGTCTCGACCTAAGAGGAAAGGTGGGAATTTCCTTGGCAGGGGGCAAAGAATTCTCTTATCCAAATAAGGAATGTTGCTTCAGCTGCAAATAATGGTTTGAAATGTAGCATGCCACTCAGAGCCCACATGCAACCCTCTGCACCCCTAATATGAAAGCCTGGTGGCCATCTGTTCCCATGATGGAAAGGATCTGAAGGCAATGCAATGGAGACAGCCCTAGCCCTTCATCTGGCCTTCAGCATGACAGGGAAGATCTTCCCCATCTGACAAACGTTTGGCTCCTGTAGGATTAGAACAATTCATCTGAACATATGCTGGGACTCTGCCTCTATAAGAAAATACAGTTGCTCATGTTACACACGCTGCTCCCAGGTTTGGCTTATGGTCACTTACTCACACACTCACAGCCTGTTGAGGCAGGCAGATCTTGTCAGCCCCCCTTGCTTTCTACC